GCCGTGGAGAGAGTAAGGGAGACGACGCACGCGGAAAGTTTGAAATCGAGAACGAAGAAAAAATGCAAGTGAGAAAGCCTTTCGAATAGGAGGTGCGCATGCACGATGACGACGTTGATAGAAAGGTGGGGTTGGGTGGCCGTGGGTGGGTGGTAAGGCAGACGGTTTGTATTTCAAATTTAAAAGCATTCGACAATGGACGCTTCTCGTATTGTTGACTCACTCGACGAAGGAGAGAGGAAAGAAGAAAGAAATGTGCAGAAGTGTACGCGCCGGTAAGGGGAAAACGGGGGTGATCGCGGGGGAGAGGAGGATAGGTAGGCGATGGTTCAAGGGGGGAGAAGGAGAGTCAGGGGTGGCTTGAGTTTTGTAAAGGACTGCAGACAATTTCCGCAGGGCTTAGTGGCTTCGGGCTCTCCAAATAAATTATTCCGCGAATGAGCGACGCTGCTTATTTTTCGCACCATTTTCCGTGCCACCCGCGATTCTCAAGGTGTGTACGTGAACCATTTAACAAGTACCCGAGCTAGAAGTAACGCGTTCCCGTGCAAGCATTAGCCAACGTTTCTTGTCTTCAGCGAGAATAATTATGGGCAGTAATCGTAATTAAGTTTTCAATGAATGTTAGAATCGATGGACCGACTTCACAGCTCAGTCTCTTGCAAGTGGTAACGAAAGATTTTTCTCTAAAACCCGCGAATGAGTTACTTTCAAGCGGACGTGTGCGAGGTTGCACGCGAATGGGAATCGCACGTACTCGACGGGGGTGAAACTCGACGAGAACCGATCGAGAGTACTTTCGACTGTAGGCACGTATATACATCACCTATCGATCGGACTTTTTTCTTTCGTTACCCGTGATGCTCCCTTTTGCAGCAGAACCGTTACGTGAAAAAGTGAGTCAAAGGGGTTAAACCCTCATTCTTCTTTCCGCTAGTAGCTACTCCATTTATTCGTGAAACAGGACAAGAAACGTGGGTGGGTGACACAGACTACCCCCGTAAACGGGAGTGTCGTCTGAAATACCGAGGTTGATTCAAAATATTCAAGAATGCGGGCCATGCAAACGTTTCTAAAGAGCTTTGACGATTTCGCGTGTCTTCCGTCGTCCCTTCACAGTTTCAACACGTTCTGCCCACTTAATATTTACATTGTGACACATTTTTAAGATAACTTTGTTCATTTTACGTAACTGCATAATAGAAAAGGAGAAAATTTCATGAGACGCATGACACGTTTTTTTCGAGTGAGTCTTAAATAGAAGCTTGCTTGACACGATATTCTTTAGAATTCGAATACGTTAAGCATAGATGCGAGGTCAAGAGAAAATATCGGCAGCTCTTTTGACGTATCACGTTTCCAAGGAAACTCGACGATATTCCCGTGCCTCAGAATAGTTCGATTGTGGATATTGTAGAACTGATCTATCAAGCAAATACATTATTCACATCACAATCTCCGAAGAACCTTTTATAACGTTTCTCAATTTCCTTTGTCATTTCCATTGCTTTAATCTATAATACAACAATGTATTATTAAACATTAATCCAGCAGATCGGAGAATCAATAATACATTTTCAATTCGCACTGAATTGCCATAAAGCTGATCATCGATAAACCAAAAGAATTATTCGTTGAATCGTTTGGACGTTTCATCATCGTGGCGCGTACACGCATTTTCTGCTGATGCTCGAAACGCGGCGGGTTTAAACGGACGGCAAATGAGGCTGCGCGTGCGATTCATGCATTTTTTAATCAGTACCAGTGGCTGTGCGATTAAGCGCAATCTGACGACTATTCTGATCGGTAGGCGCTGCGGTGCTTACGCAGCAGCTTGCGAAATCATTGTCCGACCCGGAACGAACGGAGAGAAACGCGATGCGACGATCATCGATTCGCAAAATCGCTTTTGCACGCGTTCCCGGTGATTTTCGATAACATTAAACGTCCTGCACGGGTCTGTCGATGACACGCGCGCACCCCCTAAATCCGGACGGCAAAAATGCCCCGCAACCACCGCCCCTGTGTCTTCTGCCCAACCGTGATAATTCGATGGTTTATCATTTGGTGTCCATCGACTCGGTTTCGTCTGGTCGAAATAACGGCGAGCCTGGTTTCAATGTAACATACGGATTTTGCAGACGGAAATCGAATAGAAATTCGGAAGCATTTGGAAAGTGAAATTACGTTCACGATTGCATAGATCGTCAAGAACAGAGTTCGTCGACACTCTAAAAAATAAATAATCTCTTTCCAACTAATATGAAGTTCAGATTTCTTGATTTTAACGAATCTACTAGAAAAAAGTGAGTATCGCAGTCGAGAGGTAGACGCTTCATCATTTCCATAATTCGAAAAGACCTGCCGGAGGTAATAAGAGACAAACGAGGAAAGTGTCCTCGAGCGAAATATAAAACGGATGAAAGTCAACGAAGTAGGTAATCGCAGAGCAGCGTCGGCGGTTTTCTCCTTCGGAACGAATTTCACTTCGTCGATATAGGGACGAAGTAAAAACGGAGGACTCAACGACGGATGATAAGCTTCCTCGCTGTTCGTGTTTCACGCCCCATGTCTCCTACTTCTAGCTTTGCTCTCGTTGTTTTCTTTCGCGGTCTGAGGGCCTCTCTAGATTTACACGAGGGCGTTCATTAACGCGACCGGAGACGAACGATTCGCTAATTAATGTGACGAATCTTGTCGGTGGTCGAGAGCGAGACACGATTCCTCTTCGCTCTCGTCTTGCCTCGTCAGGAACAGAGAACGAGAGAATGGGTGAGAGGCGACGGATCAGTGAGACGGGAATTGAGACAATTGGGTAATTTGTGTTCGCGGAATTGAAGCCGTGTGAATTTTGTCAAATTAACTGCGTACATGAATGTATTGCAGCAGATAGCGAGCTCTGAATTCTTCTTACTAAATGGACACCGCTGTGCAAAATATACTGCGAAACTCTTTCACTGCTGTTCATCACTGCGATGGCCTAATAAAAATTACGATACAGGAATTCTCGGAAAAGTCAGAATCAATTATAAAAGAATTTCATTTAGAGCTGCCACTGTCTAAAATATTCAACACAGCTCACAACCCTTGTTCGAGTAAATTACCAGTGCTTTGCACCGCGTTATGTTCGCCATCCCGTGACGCGGCGTGGCGCAAGGAAACCGTAAGAAAGAAACGGACGCAAAGGATGCGACAGGAGATAAAGACAGTGGCGGTGGCCCTGGCCGGTGGGGAGTATAGGACGACAGAAACCTTAATAGGATGCGGCAGGGTCTGCCCCCGTGCGCTGGCTCTTCGCTATCTCGTTTCTCGTGTACTATCGAGGAGGTGTTAGACTCCGGCTGCAGCGCGCTCGCAATTTGCATTAGGCGAGCGAATTACGCGAAATTTATGTGAGTCTGGATATACCCCTGTTAAGAGGGAGCGACGCCGCACCGCCGCGGCCGCCACGGTTAATACGTATTCGGAGTACTTACGAAAGCGGCCGCACGGTCGTCGTACTTATGCTCCTGTGGACAGCTAATGTCCGCAACTATTTCTCTCTGTCTCCCCCTTCTGTTCCCCTCGGCCACCGCCTTACGATATTATTCCCGGTGTATTGTCTCCTCGCCGCGAGAGAAACCTATTTGCCAAACGGATGACACGCCGCCGTGGCGCTGAACGATTAATCTCTGCCAAAGGCATCGTACCAGCCGACGCACCAACGCGTGCCGTTCCCCGGTAATTGTCTAAGCGCGCGTGAAACGAGCCACCGAAAGATTCGAAAAGCTCAACCGCGTCTCTTTCGTCGTCGCTTCGGTCCTCGACTTCACGATATTCGCGGAATTCGTTTGGTTCGCGGATCACCTGCACGACGAATTTCGAGAATCTGCCTGGATGTTAAGAATGCTTTCATATTATGCGAAAGGAGGATTAGGGGTTGAGAAAACATTCCGATCTAGGAACTGACCGGTCGTGGCGATTTAACAAACCGGCCGAAGAATATTTAGTGACATTTTACAAAAAAGATATAGCTAGTTCCAACGTTTTGCTCTGGGAATTGGACGTTGCACATTACGCGAAATTGTATGCATGTATGTCTTGATGAATTTCGGGAAATTAATATCGTGCAATTTAATTGATGACCAACAATTAGCAGTTTGATCAGCAATTTTGTGCAAACTCTTATTACCAGGTAATTTGAATAAACTTGGTAGAATATAATTTTCCTTCGACCTATTTAATATAATTGATATTGATTGTGATTTTTAAAGAATATTCCAATTATTTTCACTTTGATTTTTTCACTAACATTTGCTTTCTATGTACTCTCTTTCTCTGGTTTCCGTGTCCCAGGAAACTTGGCTCCAATAATCAATCAATTTCTTGTGTCATCAGACCGATGCCGGCCGTAAGAATCCAAACACGAGCAATATTTATCTATCGACGCGATCAATTAAACCCGGCGCTGGTGTATCAATTATTTTGATCAAGAACTTCGCGGCGGTTAATTGCTCTCGCAACACACATTCGATCTCGACGCTCGCTACCGTGCGAACCGATTTTTCTCGTTTGTCTTTGTACGTCGCGATCGATGTGTCTTCGTTCGACTCGTTGCGTCTCTCCGTGCTGTCTCTCATTAACGCTTTTTCTACTCTGACGCACCAGACGTTCATGGCAACTCCGCGAGAATGGCTATCGATTACCTTAAGTGGTCGTTGCGCACGGTTGACTAACGATCGCCTAATTAGTACATAACAGAACCGACTAACATCAACAGGAAGACGTGGCTGTGACGACTTGTCCGTGTCTGATCAGTATTCCACGTTACTGCGTGAAATCTGATGTATCGATTTGTGCAAAGTGATTTGCTCATAAATGGAATAGCAAACATTATAGGTGAAATTAATTTAGAATGCTTTGTTGCAAAAAAATTGTTCAACTTCAGAAGAGAATCTAACTTTAACAGATGATTTGCACAGCATAAAGACGTGTCATATAATGTTCGTTTCAACACTTACTTTCTTGCCGTCCAACTCGTGATTACCCTGTGCCAGCACTTTGTCTACACTCGCGGGATCTGCAAACGTGATGAATCCAAAACCCCTGGAACAGAAAATAAAACGTACATAAATGTTGAATTCATTCGAAACAAGACCATCGATTTAAGTTTATAATTTATGCTACTCTCAAGGAAATTAGTATCCACGACTAAAATGGATCTAAAAATTCGTACGAACATCAACCATCCTCGTACGTGTAACCCTTTCGTGACAACGTCAATCCTAAGAAATAACACCCTCTCCACAAGAATTAACAGTAACGTCCCGTGCAACGGACAAGAGTCACGACACCGCATTCGCGAAATTATTTCGTCCTCGGTGGCGGCTCTTTTTCCGTAGCGAGCACGCGGCGAACATATCACCCCTGGGAACGTGGGTTAAGGCATGGGAGGGGTGGAACGGTGGCGCGGAACGAAGCCGGGCGCGCCCGAGCGAAACAAATATCGGCCGGCGTCCGGTGCCATAAATTTCACGCGGGACACCGTGTACATACAGATACATTAAAAGATAGTTTGCCGAGGAGCACGAAGAAGCCAGGGCGGCGATCTGGAGTATCTCGCAACGGGGCGGAACGGAGCAGGGGTTGGAGGAAGTCGCGCGCGCGGCACGATTGCGCGGCCGGACGCAAAGCGGTTTGCATTTTTCATGCCGGGGCTCCCCGTGCAGTTATTGAAAATATTTACATGTTATTTATGGGCCACACATGCCTCAGGAACCGAACGCGCCAATTCCTCTGGCGCGTTTCAGAATACGCTGCATCTTCCTCTGCTACATCTCCTCGCTTGTTGAGAATACAGAGAATTCGGACGACTTAGATGAAACGGTACAGCTTTGCTTCTAACCTGCCGCCGTTTGTTGAGCACCCAGGTTTTGTTTGCTCTCCCGTGTTTTTTGGAACTTAAGAGGAATTGGAATTTTCCTAGACACGCGTCGCGGAGATATTTGTTACAGTTGTTTTTCTTTGCAGAATGCATTGTATTTGCATACGTGACATGAGATACGGGCATCTCATGGCTTTTAGTCGTTGAGAAATCTTGAGAGCTTTGCGAAATATTGATTCCGACGCGCTCGCATCGTTTCGAAGGATCCACCGAGCGTTTCGCGTTAACAATTTTCTCACTTCCATTCGCAGAAGCTCGGATTGAATTTTTTATGGTACCAATACCCGTCTACCGACCCCCTGTCTGCCCTTGCCGGGTTTCCTCGTCTGCGTCCAGTCGACTTTTCGTGCATCGAACGAGCCGATCGAATCGCACGTGTGGCTGCCTTTGAGCACGCGATACACCAACCAGGAGATACCTAGCCACTCGAAATGTTGCCCCCGTGGAGTCCCGGTGTCGCGTGAACTTCGACCATTTTTGTACCTCGTTTGCGGGGATTTACGAGCCACGGGATACGGTATCGTGGACTGCCGAAATTGGCAGATTCTCCGGCTTGTTTGCGGAATCGAATGTCACGCTCAAGCGGCCGGCCCGGTGCAACTTGATTTACACCGATCGCTTCCAGAAGCGGATACTATTCTCGACTAAATTTCGGAATCGTGATGACCATTAATTCGACTTTTATATTTCGTCGCACAACAAATAAAAGGATTTGTTATTCGCTGGATCCGTAAACGAATTTCTGTACCATAAATTGTAATTGTATAAATAGATCGTATATAGGTCAGTTAAAGAAATAGACGATTTGTCAATAAATGTTTTCTAAAGCATAAATCAGCGCGTGTCATCGAATGAGAATCTCCATTCGGTATCCAAATACACTAGCGAAGTTTGTTGACGTACCAAAGAGATTGTTTGAAGCAAGCGCCATCAAAATTTCCGTGTGTGTACTGTAGCCGAACCGGCATTCATATTCAAGCATTTACTTAGCCACACACATCACCTCTATTCAGCTCTCTCTCTGCTACTACTATGACAGCTTCGTAACTTCCATAGATCCTCCCTTGTAATAACAATACGCGCTTGTATACTTGTTCCCTATCAGGCAATAAATCCATTAGCAGCAACAAAATGACCGTAGGACGATAAAACACGCAGTTAGACATTTGCTCTATCAATAAAAAAATCATCATAATACTGTCCTGTATTTTTAAAAATATGATATCATTTAATATGTCTGGTAGGAAAAGTTAAATCAGAGAATTTCTGCTCACGCAATGATAATCATTAATTAGTGGAGACGGTAACGTGAAATGTATTTTAATCTGCTAAAATTGGTAATGGTTATTTATGTGATTTCGTTTCGCAGGCTTTGTATCGAAACGGTTGATTTGATTTATTTAAAACAGTACTACCTCGGGTGCTTATTAAATTTCTTCGTGTAAAATTAAACGAACCATTCCAACTACAACAATATCTCTGGTACTAAAATGGCAGTTCCAGCGCTCGGGGCACACGAATCGATTTATTTCATGCAATCGTCAAATCGTCGCATCATTGATATCTCGTCATCAATGCAAACGCTGTTATTTAATAGAATAGCATATATTAAATCATTCGTGTATTAAGTACTACGTAAATTATTTAGTAACCGTTTAACGATAAAACCGTGTACGAAATTAATACAGTATATGTACATCAATTACTAAACCGTGGAGTTTCATAACGAAATTCGAAGATAATCAAGTTAACTCTAAAGTTTCTGAAATTTCCTTTTTATGAAAATTAAAATTCTGTAAGAACTCTGAAATGTCTCTAACGTTAATATCAAGACTCATTTTTTTAAAAGGACTGTAGAACTCACAGTTACTCACGGGAATGGAATAAATCCATCTACGTTCGCGATTTCGCTGACGATTTATCCGGCCACGGATAGTACGCGCGTTTCGGCACGTGCATGTGTGCGCGGTGCAGAATTTTGAAAATTCTCGCTCGACCGATGCCGGGTGCGGCGCGGCGAAGCGCGGCGTGGAAACAACAATCGTGGCAAACGAACGCCGGCTGAATCGGCAGTCGTCCAATCAACATTAAAACACCAAACATCGCACGATACCGAATACCGGGGGAAAAACACTGACTGACCAACAACGCGGCGACCGGCATCGGCGGCTATGCATTTACATGCGTTTCGGAAACTACCCTTCCCCCCCCCCTCCGTCTCTACCCTGCCTCCCATCCTGTTGTTCTCTCCTGTCGCGTTTTACGACATCCTGTTTACGACGACGAGACGCACCATCGATTCACGTGAAACATTCATCGATGTCTCGTAATTTCATACGCGCCGCATCTGTTCCTCGTTAAATTCTAAAGTGGCAATAGCTAGCGAAATATATCGCGACGGTACTTTACGATCTTGCACTACTCTTTCAGATCGAATTGTAAAAAAATTCGAGATTTTTCAATCCATGGATATCTGACTGTGACTCCACGTCACAGACAAATAGCGAACAGTCTTCTGTCATATTAAATAACAAAAATTCCAATGTTCATCCGTGTATCTCAATTTTATAGTAAGATGCTCTACAATGTCACTAAGAAATGATTCTAAAATGTATTCACGTTTAAAATGGTTCGCCTAATCGGTCGGGTGATTATCACCTCCAGCACGTCAGTTCGGCTGGTAAGTGCAACAAGAAGAAAAAGACAAAGAGAGAAAAATGAAGATCTTCCTTAGTGGCTAGGACAAAAAGGGGACCGGGAGGAACGGTGTTTCGAGCGTCGTGACCTGCCACTTGTCACTCGACCATTGTACGTGAATAATCTATAAAAGGCTGAGTAGAAGGACGGCGGCTGACGTGTCTCTTGTCTACTTGAGCACGGCTTCTACGATCCTCTACTTTTCATCCTTGTCTAGCCGCCGCTGCTAAGGCCCTCCGCCTTAACCACCCTCCCCGCCTGCTTCACTCCCCCTTTTTCGAGGCAACTCAGCCACGGAAGAGTGTCACGCCGGGCTGACGCGATGCATTTGTTTGTCGCAGCACCCTCTCCACCTTCAGCGCGCGGAAAAGTGCTCTCGGTGCTGTGAGGCCGGCCGAGATGGATGGCGTGGAAGAGAATCCGCGACGGTGAAATCGGGTGAAGCCGTGTTTATTTGAGCGCCAACGGTACAGCGAAAGAAGCATTGTCAGTTAACTAGAAACGAGCTAGTCAATGACGAAGTTACAGTCTCTTTGAGGAGCGAGAGTGTTCGGCGGAAAGTATTAACTTGTAAACGAGTTTATGAACTTATCTGTTAGCTGATCTTTTTGTTAAGAGAAAAATCTTTTTTACTTCGAGTAATTTATGTGCAGGTAGACTTTCACGATTGGGATAAAGTGTAACGACGACGGGAACGAAGTTGTGCGAAGGTTAAAGAGGTACTTTATTTGGACTCGTTGGGGTCGACCTCGAACATTGCGAGGGTGGATGGGATAATGTCCATCAAAGTGAAAGTGGAGAGTTTAACAGCCGTGTCACTGCTTTAAGATGGCCCGTGTTATGCTCTACTTTGCGCTGGCTGAGAAATATCCTTTAACCATTGATGTTTGAAAGGAGGTAATTACGATCTTTCCTTTAAATCATCAGCAGAATTGTCACTATTCACTTAATTACAAAAATGCAAGTTGATTTTAAATGAGTAAAGAATGGGATTGTATCGCAAATAGAAAACGGCAAGAGGAGATTCAATTGTGGTACATAAATTCGTGATCGATAAAATTGTCATTTGATCAATTGAGAGGAGGCAGGTAACAGTGTTTAGTTACAGTACAGCGAGAGGAGAAAAAAAAAGATGAACGATAAGTACAGCGTGCTGCGATGGAAGGATAACGTCATAATAAATCTGCAGAGTAATCTTTACGCCGAGATAATGAGATTTTTTATCACCTTTAGTCGAATGGAGTCTTTGTCAGAGATAACGAGCTCTGAAGCGACAGGAAAAATTATAGGCTAAGAAAAGGAATTTTACTTTAAGTTCACTAAATGTGAATGGAAAGAGTCCTCGCCTTTCTCGCGAAGGGGATGGTTTTGTGGACACTTTTTAATCTCCAAGTACTCATCGCAGAGTTTGATGCGGACATTATTAAAACAAAAAGTCGTTCCCTTTCCCCCTGAACGTTATCTC